TGGATTAGGGACACACATGTATGTGTTAGTAGCAAAAACAATGAGTCTTTCTGTAAGAAACAGTATATTTTAGAATGAAATGGAGATCTCTTTTGAGGGTTAAAAACTCATTCAATTTTATGTCTTACAGGACTTATACTGAGTTCAATATTATATAACTGTATTGATTCAACAGTGAACCTAGAAATTTTATAGCCACTTTTGAAGGAGCTGTGTCTTTGCTCTGGAAACTGTTATTGGGTATGTTAAAACTGTAATGACATGCTTCTTCTAAAAAAAATAAAAAAAATATTAAAAATGTAGGAAACAGCAAGAAATAAATAATAAACTTCAAAAGTAAAGTACCCAAAAACACCTCAAACTTCCAGTTTCAAAAGAAGAAATGTAAAAGGCCAATACATACTTTTTAAAGTGTTCAACATCACAAGCCATCAGAGAATTGAAAATAAAACTTCTTTGATATTCAAAAAAAAGATATAAATGTTCCATTGGAAGACATTATACGATAGAAATGGATAACTGGGGGCTCAGTTGTAGAGCATGCTCCATTGTAGAGCAGATACTTAGCAAGCCCTGGGTTCACTGTACAAGAGCACACAAGACAGACAAACTGAAGCAATTATAACAAAAGACCATTTGTGGAAGGGGACCCAGTCAGTATTGGGTGGACTTCCAGATACAGAAAAGCATATTCCAAAATGACTTCAATAAAACCTTAAGGTACCTGGATTTAAAATTTAAAAAAATGAAAAAGGAACGGAATAGAACCTGAATGAGCTTCATATTCACTTAAAACTCATTAATCAAAGGCACTGAGAGAAATATAGGGCAGTAGATGGTATTTTAAAATTTATGGTACTATGATGATCGTTATTGTTGTTTATTGTGAAGTTTTTTTGAGGTGATATCTCACTATGTAGCTCTGAATAGCTTGGAACTTGCAATGTAGACCAGGCTGGCCTCAAACTTGTAGTGATCCTCTGGTCTCTGCTTCCTAAGTGTTAAGATTACAGATGTGTGCTATTACAGCCAGCTAAAGAATTATGATAATTTTTAAAATTTTACTTTTTTGTTTATATGTATACATGCACACATGTGTGTGTGTGCCCACAGGAATCAGAAGAGGGTGCTGGAACTCCTGAAGTTACAGATAATTATGAGCTGCCCAACATGGGTGCTGGTCACTGAATGCAGGTCCTCTGCAAGAGTAGCAAGTGCTCGTAACCATTGAGTCATCTCTCCAGCCCCTAAAGAATATATATTTTTTAATTTTACTTATTATTTTTATTTTATGTGTATGTGTGTATTGCCTGCATGTAGGTAAGTGCACCTGTGTCGTGTGCAATGCCCGCAGAGGTTGAAGAGGCTGTCGGATCCCCTGGGAGTGGAGTTACGGACAGCTGTTAGTTGCCATGTGGGTGCTGGGATTCAAACCTGGGTCTTCTGCAAGAATAACCAGTGTTCTTAACCGCTGAGCCATCTCTCCAGCCCCAAGAATCATTTTTAATTAAGTGAATTTTGGACTTTTCGCTTGGGGCTAGGAATGATGGTTCAGTACATAAAGGTGCTTGTCATGCATATCTGGAAACCTGAGGTTGGTCTGTGGAGCCCATGTAAAGATAGGAGAGAACCAATTCCCCATAGTTGTCCTCTGACTTCTACATGCACACTATGATACACACACCTACCCCCCGCCTCTCTTTATCTCTCACACACATATACACACAATAA